CCCCCAAAAAAAAAACCCCCAAAAAAAACCCCAAAAAAACCCCAAACAACTAACCAACTTGGGTGGGGTGCCTATCCCAGCTTTAGATAGACTCCACCCAAACACTAAAAACATATCCATCCATTCTCTACGGAGAGCATATCTCCACAAAAACATTAGTAAAAACCGTTACAAAATACCATGCAGCAGACAGCTGCTCTGTCAATCAGTCCATGTTAAGATCTCAGTTGCCTTTTAAAAATGTGTCATTTATCTCTATTAGTTAAGTGTCTATAGCCAAAGCATTCATATTAAGCCAAGGGGAATCCGTATCTCATGACTTGAGCCAGATGGTTTCAGGACACAGAAATAGAAATGGTAGAAATACACAGAAATGCTTGCAGCTGCTCCCGTTTTTATGACAAATATGTACTGGTCATACTTCAGTGCCCTGCAGTCTCGAGGTCTCACTGGCTCCAGAGACGAAAACTTGCTTTGTAGTCAGTATGCTAACTTTGGAAAACCATGTTTCTATTACTGCTCTAGTAGAGAGAATCCTACGAGCACCTCTCGAAGACACAAAGGAAGAGCACTCAACACCCACCTACACTGACACCACATAGACCAGAAAGCAGTCCCAGCAAAGCCAGTGGCAGGAAGGTAAATCACTCAGCCACAGCTGGGAGATGGCAGCACCTGCGCTAACGTTACAGCACCAGACACATTCCTCCACAGCCTTCATGCTGTCTCAGACTACGATGAATGGCAACAAGGCTGCTGGGAATCTCTTGCTCCTTTCATCCCTCCAAAGACTCCCTTGACCTATTTGGGCTCAGCCTTACAGGGAGTGGTGGAAGACAGGTGAAGCCTGTTCTCTGCACAGATCAGCCTGTTCTCTGCACAGATCAGCCTACATAAATAACAACTTTTTATTAGACCAGTCTGTCAAGCCTGCCTGGGGCAGTAGGGAACTATTAGTACATTTTTATGCTTTTTCTGTCCAGAAATTGTCTTGAGATTCAAAGTAAATGCATATACAAGCCTCCGGGACATTAAGGCAGCAATGCTGTCTTGGCATAAAGTTTTGATGCTGTGGGTGGACTTCTTCACAGCAAACACACGCAGTGGACTGGAACTCTGAAGTGATCATCTTTCAGGGGAACTGTCTGCTCAGGCAAACTGATAAGCCTGTCCCAACATCAGAAGAGTCACCAAAGTCACCCTGAGCTGCAGCAATGCATAGACAAAAGGAAGAAAAAAAAAATCGATGCAAAGATATTTTTTTCTGACTTCACTCTGTGAGGCTGCAGATCTAGAATGAAAGGCCACAGGGGCAACCCAACACACATTCCGGGCCTAGAACTACAAAGAAGTCCTAACAACTATGAAACCAAAACTGATGAAATACACCATCTTTCTTCCAAAGCTAGGAAAGCCTTCCTGTCACCTGCATTTGTTCTACTGCACCAACAATGGCAAAACCCATTACTTGGTAAATTTCCAGTTGGTGGTGGTTTTTTTGTTTTGTGTGGTTGGGGTTTTTTTTGGGGTTTGGTTTTTTTTTCCCCCTCTCTCCAATTACCTTCAAAAGAAACAGCTAAGACAAAAACCAAGGAAAAACATACGGATTTTTTGAAATCAGAGCAAATTAAGACAGTTAATTATATAAATGTCAGAAAATGTCTCTTCAGCTTGAATTGGTATCTTTTGGAAACACTGCTTATCAAACAAATTCCAAAACATCAAAAGTAGCATTTGAGCAAACGTCTTTCCAAACAGACCCTTTAAGCCTTTCCCTGTTCTTTTTTCTTTGGTTTAAAGAAAACCAGTGATGAGTAGTAATACGACCTGTACTAATAATAATCTTCCTACTTTCAACTATCCATGTTTAGAGACTAAAGCTCCCACCACAAATATTATTTTAATACACCAGAAATTGCAGAAGTTTCAAAGGAAACAGGTAATCCACTTCTTCAAACTTCAAATACAAAGAATTTTATGTATAAAAATCTAAGTGTCAACAAAACCTGAATTTCTAAAATGGGTAAGGAGAAGAGCTGTCACTAAAAATGCCTTAAGTAAAACAAACAAACAAAACCAACAAACTCAAAAACCTGAAAGATCCCAGTAACAACAGTGAAGAATGTTCTTTTGGAAATTGGAAAGAACCCCTTTCCAATTCCTTTCTTCAGAGGCAGAAATTAAACTGGTATATCAATAATAAATTTAGCCCAAATTTTCTATTCTGAATATCATAAACAAAACTAGTTTATATATATATATGTATAAAAAGATAGTGCTGTGATATATTAATCATTACCACTTACCCTGACAACATCTCAAATATAAGAATTCCCAGGGCCCACCAATCCACAGCTCTTCCGTGGCCTTTGCTTTGTATAACTTCTGGTGCAAGGTACTCAGGAGTGCCACAGAGTGTCCATGTCCTGGGAGGAAAGGAAGGAAAAAAGAAAAAATAGAGAGGAAAAAACCAACCCAGAAAACAAACCAGGAAAGCCGACTGAAGTGAAACTGACATATTGTAACAGAGAGAGATGGAAATTACAAAACCTCTTGGCTGCAGGAAACATCTGTGCACTGAGTTTCCCAATTATTGGTGTGGTACTCTATCCATTAGGCTATACATTGCTTTGAAATTAATAAAAGTGGTTTTCATCCTGTAAGCTGCAGACCCTGACAGTCTTCTGACAGGCCCAGCAAAAGGCAAGCTTATTGGCCTTTTCCCCAAAAGGCAATTTTGTTTAAAAAAAAAAAATGAAGGGAAGAGGGGGAGATAAAATGTACTGGTTTAAATATGATTCCTTTTAGAATCTAAATATTTTTTAAAGTAGTATTGAAATGTAATCTGTCATCATTCCCACAATATCAATTAAAAGGGAAATATTTTGTGGTTTTAATTATTTAAAATACTTACAAGGTATAGTTAAGCAACTGTAAAATATGTAAGTAATACTATTTTTGATATATTTTCATGTCATTTTTAGTCATATCTTTCTTAATATAAACTCAGGATATTAAAATGTTATATTGTTACCTAATTAAAGTGTGTATTTCCAGTTCTATGAAATAATGAAAAAAACGAAGGTAAGTAGGTAATGTTTAGAAAGACCAAATTACAATTTGAAAAACACAATATCTGAAAGTTTCAGAAATGTGAAATCTTCTTTGTAAAAATACATATTTGTTTGACTTCACTACCTTGAATTACATTTAAATACATGCTAGAGAAAAAAAATGTGCTTTCATTCTGAATAAATTACACTTCCCTGATAGCAAATCAGAAGAGGAAACTTTGAAGAAGTGCTCATCAATTCAAGAGAAGATGATAACATCACAGATTAAGGAAATAAATAAAAGCATATTGCATTTTACAAAGAGTTCTAGTAAGATATGACAAAAAACATAATCCTAAAATTAATGGTCACTGCACACAATTTCTAACTTGCAGCAAAAGTAACTATAATTGTTTTATTTCTGAGTGAAGGAAGAATCTTCTCCAAGGCGTGAATCAAACTGGTAACATGGTTCTGAACAACTGCATTAAGATTAATAGCAATGACCTTCAGAAATAATGCATACCTCTTTCAACTTGTAGTTTTTCCTACCACTGTTCTGCTGAACTTAAACTTTCTTTTTCTAAACCATAAATGGCTATTCAAGATGCCCCTATACTGAGTAATTTGTTGTTAGGTTGTTTTGGTGTTCGGGGTTTTTTTTTGTGTGGGTTTTTTTTTCCCCCCAGATTAAGTAATTCACTTTTCTGAGATTGCAGAATTATTTTAAACAGAGCTTTTGGGTGCCTTCCCCTCCATTTTTGTTTATTTGTATTTTTTGAGCCTTAGCCTTGATTCATAAAAAATACTTATGATCAAGAAAGAGGAGCTGTACACTAAGTCAAGACTTTTAAGATTGACAATACACAGAACTGAAATTCTTTAGGCCTGATTTCAATATGACAAAAGCTAAATTGCTCCAGCTAAACTGTCAGAATACATTAAGACACACCATGCACCCAAGTTCTCCATGGTTCTTGAAAATACATTCATTAGCATAAAGAATACATCTTCAGTTTTTAACATAAAAGGGTAGCATAATTTTTATTGCTAGAAAATATAAGTTCTCATTTTCCAAGTCAAGCATACCCAAGAACATGCTTACATACAGCACTGCTTTACACACTGCTGCCATCTAGCCGTTCCCTGGATCAGGGCAAGATAATTCAGAAAGAACAACCAAGCTTTGTCTTTTAAAACAAAACAGTCTCCCCTCCCCCAAATTAAAAAAAAAAAATCTGGATTACAATCCTTTGGATGATTTTTTTAATTAATACTGATTTAGCCAGGTCTGCACATGAAGCAGCTACCAGTTTTACTGCATTTGTGGAGAAGGGCTGTAGACATAAAGCAGACTGGGCAGGCACAGTGGTTTTAATGGACAAGCCACAATATTCAGTACAATGCCCCAGAACAGTCATCCTATCCCCCCCAAAAATCGTCAAAAAATGCCAAAATTCAGCAAAGATGCTGTCTTTGGTGGTTTACATCCCTTATCAAGGTCATTTAGGATACACACACACACAAAAATAAAAATCTCAGTTTAACACTTGACCATGACTTCCACAACCCATACGATTTGCTGGTAACAATGTAATTAAAATAACCCTTAATTAACTTACAGGTTAATAACAACATCTTTTTTATTCAAGCAAAAAGAAAACCATATATTAAGGAAAGGCCAACGTAAGCTGAACTCCCCTAGCTGCACTAGGAAGTAAAATTTAGGAAAAAAAAAATCCTTGACACTGCCCCCATTTTAGTGGCACATATATTATATGTGAATCTACTTAAAAGAAACTGAAAAAGTTATTAAGTTTTCAGTTAAGGAACCAAGGTGGAAAAGAAAGAGAAGAAAGAAACAGCAGTTGAGGCAACCACATTGTTATGGAGAAAAATTTGGAATTTTTAAAAGTACATTATGACTAAAAAAGGAAGAACAAGGATAAACAGAAGGACATATCAATAAAGAACAGAAGGGCACAAGAAAACATCTCCCCTTTCCTCTTTCTCTAGAAAAAAAGTATTAGAGTCTAGTCCTCCAGAAAATTTGCTGACAAGAAGGTAAATGTGCAGGCTGCTTCCCACAACAGGAACATGAGCTAGAAGCAAGAGCAACTTAATTGTAGATGGACATGGTGAACACTTCACCCTTTCACACACAATAGTGGGAAGAAAGGAAAATCCTTACAGAAAAATCTCAATTAAGCAACTACAGAATCATTGACAGAAAATAATATGTATCATGAAATGTATATTTATACTGAAGGTCTTCTGCAGACCATGTTTTATTTTACATGCCATGTTTCTCTAGGAAAAAATTAGTTGGTCTTAAGGAGCATGCTTCCTCACAGCTGTTTGAAAAACATATATACTCTGCACTATATATATGGATACACATACATACATGTATGGTTTATGTGTCTAGATATTTGCTGTGCATAAAATATGACATATGCTATGCACGTGTCATTGACCTGGACTTGTGCAAA